TTTCTTTTTAAAAAAGTTTTAACCATTCAAGTGGGTGGGAACTGGCATCTTATTGTGTTTTTGATTTGCATTTCCCTCTTAGCTAATGCTGTTGAGCATGCAGCTGAAATTTAGTGAGGACACTACTCACCTATAACTCGTCAGTGGAGCAGGTATGAGATTGAGTCCACAACTTCAGATATTCAAGCAATGAACTTTGTTTCTGCAACATTGCCAGTTTCCATGTTGAACCTTCATTCTGCCATGGTTATGTAACAGGACCCCAAAGTAACAGTGCCTTAAACTGGGAAAGTTAGATTTCCTCCTTCCATAAGACTGCAGAGGCAGGTGGTCCCTGCGTCCAGTGGCTGTGCTAGATGGGCCAGTGCAGGCTCTTTCTCTCCTGTGGCTTCATTGTCCTGGGGTGTTCACCTCCTCTGCATCATCCATGATGTCTCTCATCACATCCACACTCTGAACAGCAGGATGGAAAATGTCCCTTCCCTTTAAGGGGGCAACCCTGAAGTCACACACATTATTACTTACTGGCCAATACTTAGTGGCAATGCCATCAAGTCACCTCTTTCTGCAAAGCACGCTGGAAGTTGTAGTCTTCACGATGGGTGGCCTTGCAACAGGTAGAAATCTGTAGTTGTGTTTCTGATAAGATGAGAACAGATACTGAGGGACAAATAGCAGTCTTGGTCACACTAGGTCTGTTAGATGACATCATCCCCATCATTTGAGTTGGCACAAGGGTGGCGGGAACCACAGGGGGGAAGACCCACCCTGACACTCTGATGATGTTTTTGGGCTGGAAGAGGAAGAAGAATCCGAAATGCCCCAGGCATGCCTCAAGCACATGCTCCTCAGCACTGGGATCCTCTTCCTGGCTGCTCCCCTCATGCCTCCTCCCTCAGCTCTCTCCTCCACCCGACCCTTCCCTCAGCCTCTTTCCCCACCAAACTTTCCGGTGTGGGGTTCTCTCTTGACTCACCATTCTTCATTCCCAGGATGCTTAGATTTACTACTTAGGGGACAATAGCCTGTTGAAGGATGCCCAAACCTCCATGGCCCTGACCCACTGTCTCCCACCCCATTTTCCCAGTCTGTTCTATATGTGGTCTCCTGCCACCCCATCTCCTTTACTGCCCATCCAGGTCCCAGTCACCGTGTCCTCCAAAGTCCTGGCGATCACGCCCTTGCCTTCCTGCGCACATCTCTTTGGAGCCTTCTGAGGGTGAGGAGGGATGTAGCATCCTTCCACGAGTGAAGTCCTTGACATCCATGGTCTCACTGAATTCTCTAGCATCCTCTGAGGAGGGGCTGGCTGTCCTCATTTTACATGAGAGGACTCGTAAGCTCAGAGCTGCTAAGTACCCAGGACCTCCCTCCACCCTGCCAGAAACAATAGTGCTGGAATCATGCCCCAGGGCAGGTGGCCCACTCCACTTTACCCCACAGCTGACTCTTTTCTGCCCCAAATTCCAAATCTGTACTTCCAACCTCTGCTCCCCTGGAGCCTAGCATAGCACTCTTCTGTCCAAGGTATTGAAGTTGAGTCTCAGGTAAACCCAATCTGTTTCCTTCCACTCCCAAGATGCAAGAGGAAAAGGAAAAAAAAGTGGAGAACATGCTTATGAAATTCTCAACTCCCCTTGTTTACTCTGTAAATAGCACAGTATGTTTAGATTTTTCCACATCTAGAGGATTTCAAAATCTACCTGGGAGGGAGGGCTGGGGCATCAACTGGTATGCAATGTGCTTTTTAAATTTAAAAAGTGCTATGCAAAGAAAAGCACTGCCTTTGGGCCAGGTCACAGCCGCTTCCTTTCCCAGCGCCTGCTCTCCTGGGTTATCTGGTGGAACTGTCTTTAGTTAGCAGGGTGAGAGGCACCAGAATGGGAGCAAAGGGTGAGAGGCTTTGGAGCCACAGCAGCCTTGTTTACCAGGACTTGAGGAAGGTTCGTCTGAGCCTTGATTTTCCCACTGTGAAATCGAGCTAATAATTATCCACCTTGCAGAGATGTTGTGAAGATTCCGTTGTGAAGATTCACACGGGAAGAGTTCAGAAGCTTAGTAAATGCTAATGTTCATGTCATTAGGACTGGGACATTATATGTCCAACTACTACGAAACTGTCTCACAAGCTGTAATTTACTGACCCAGACTTCGAGTTTCTCAGTTGAGAAAAAGAACCTCCCCACCAGCGCCCTAGGAAAGCTCAAGGGCAGTGGCCTGGCTCTCAGAGCATCTGCCCAACAGCTAAGGACTTCTGGCTCCTGCCATGCGACTTGGGCTTCGGCCCTTGCCTTCCCTGACCTGGGAGAGGGTGGACCTGGGAGAGGATGAGGAAGTATTGCCTGGACGGACAGAGACAGAGCTGGGGCAAAGTTCCCAGGCAGTTGCCAGCCCTGGAGGCAAGGTCAGGAAGCACGTGGAGACCCAGAAGGGACCTGACACTGTGATGTGGGCTGACTTACACAGTGCAGGCAGACATCTGCACTCAGGGCAGGTGACCCAGGTGGCCCAGGATGGCAGCCAGCAGGGCCCTGTGGTGTACCTATAATTTTGGAGTGAAATCTAACTTAGGTGGGTGTCCACTCACTGCCTGCCAGTCTCAGATGGGTTCTGACAACAGGGGAAACAGCTTAGTGGAAGCATAGAAAAATAGCAGCCGATAACAGCTCTGGAAACTAAACCTCTGGGTGGCAGAACTGCAGGGCACTCAAGGGAGCCTGTCGTTCCACCTCTTCATTTTGTGGAGGAGAAACCAATGCCCACGGAGACCAGTGTCTTATCCACTAAGATGCAGCAGGCCAATGGCCTAGAGCCAGTCGGGGGCTCTTTCTCCTCCACCATGGCTTCTCAGCATTGTCAACCCAGTCTCCTCTTTACATGACAAATATTTTGTAATGACCTCTTTACTCTCCTGATATAGCATTTATAGATAATATAACCTGCCTTTATCCGTAATAAAAAATCAATGTAATGCCCTACCTGTAATATAGGGAGAAATGAAAGGAAAGTCATTTATAATAAAGTAGTTCAATAAGTAAATACACAGGCACAACTGTACTCAAATGAATGCCACAGCTATACACGCAGACCGATGGAGGCAAGTTGTATTGTATTTGTGACTTCAATACCTTAAGTGTTGTTGCTGTTGATTACATGATTTTTCTTTTTTTTTCTTTGAGAGGGAGTCTCACTCTGTCGCCCAGGCTGGAGTGTAGTGATGTGATCTCGGCTCTCTGCAACCTCTGCCTCCTGGGTTCAAGTGATTCTCCTGCCTCAGCCTCCCAAGTAGCTGGGATTACAGACAGGCACCACCATGCCCAACTGATTTTTGTATTTTTAGTAGAGATGGGGTTTCCTCATTTTGGCCAGGCTGGTCTCGAACTCCTAGCCTCAGGTGATCCACCTGCCTCAGCCTCTCAAAGTGCTGGGATTACAGGTGTGAGCCACCGCACCTGACTGATTTTGTGATCAACTCTTGGCAAAGACACAGTTCGAGCTCCCCTCTAGAGAAATGTGAGCCCGTTTCCTTGAATGCAGATGAGGCAGGGATAAAGTGGTGATGATTTCTCTAGGAGGTGCAATCCCAGCAAGCACGAAAGACAAGGAAGCGCAGCAGTGAAGGTGGAAAGCCATACAAACTGATACGCTGCTGGACAGCCGCTGCTTCAAGACACGCTGTGAGGGGGGTGTGTACGCTCAGCCACATGGGAAGTCCCCAGCCAGCTGTACAGAGAAATCAAACTTTAGAACAGTCCCCAGGGAGAAGAAAGAAAGTGGGAATCCTGATACCCAATGGCCAAAGTTCATTCCATGGGGAACTGACTCTCCCGCACCTCTGGGTTATGTTATCTGGTCCCTTGGCAACTGAGCAGGAAGCCAGATTGCACCTCCTTGAGCGTGGCCTGTTATGTGATGCTAGAAGCAACAGGAGCATCCTGAGAGTCACGGTACAAGGGCACACGGCTGGTGGGGCTCAGGTGGTGGAATGAGGATGCCTTGTTGAGACCCAGGTGGAGCAAAAAGCTGAAAGCCTGGGTGGCAAGGTGCAGCGAAGAGAATCTGAGGAGATGAATATGCTGCTGTGTCCGATCCAATACAGTGATTGCAATCCTCGAAGACTCGTTGTATGTTAAAACCTTTTAAATTTTTTATGTTTATATATGAAAAAGAGTTACGTTTCAAGCTCAGATCACTATGAAGACGTTTTTCAATCTATTCCAATGTTTAATGGAACATCTGAAAGTCACATAGAGCACGGGACAATTATTGATTCTGTGGGACTGTCCCTTAGATTTCAGGAAAATGATCACTGATATCTGTAAGTTTCAGGCCTTATTCTAGGCACTTTGTACAGATTAATTCACAGCATGTGCACAAAAATCTTGGGAGATAGGCATGATTACTATTTCCATTTTACAGATGAGGAAACTGAGACTAGAGAAGTTTACACAGCCAGTCAGTTGTAGAACTGAGACTGGAACTCAGGGGTCTGGATCTCCAGTGGTTCCAGTCTTCATCCTCTAAATGCCAGTGGGATCTCCTCTACCAATTGTTAGGACAATAAACACACTCCCAGAAATTTCTCCCCAGCCTATGGGAGCAGTACGTTCCCCCACAGGCCCGTTGCACAGTTCACAGATGGACACATGGCCCCCAGGGAGCCAGGCCAGCTGGGGCTACCACAGAGCCCCAGGTTTACTAACCCTGAGCAGGGTCAGGGATGGAGTGGGTGCGAGGGGCCCTGCAGGAAAGGGAAGGGTGAGGGGAGGAAGAATTGGGAGTCTCCTCGTGCAGCCGTTTCGCTGTGCTTCTAGATGCTTGCATGGCGGGCTAGGCATTTGGCTGAAGTGGTGGCTACAGATTTCAAGGCATTTTAAAGGCTATCACCCAGGCTCCGGTCAGGCACCAGAGAAAATACAACCGAAACTCCAACCCCAAACCAAGCTAATCTCCTGTTTCCATCCTGTTACAACTCAGCCATTGCTCTTTGTGGCCCACAGGACTCCCCACGTGTGGGTTGGATCCCATCCGAACCTTGATTCCCACACCCGCCTGCTGCCAGACCTCGTCTGCCAATTGTGGCTGTGCGGAGCCCGAGGGGTGGGTGTCTCCCTGGAGAGCTTCTGACAGACATCTGCACCGAGAAATCCAACTCCCAGCCTCCTTGCGGGTGGTCTCAGATCTGCCAAGCCACCAGGCGTGAGGCTGGCAAGGGCAGAAGAAAAGCTGCCGAATCAGCTCTGGAATCCCACAGCTGACCCCGCCTCTGGTTCTGCAGGAGAGGAGCCCAGCTTTGCTTTGCGGTCAAAACTGCCTCTTCTGTTTTCTGCACCAACCAAGATGCCATCTGAGACCGACACCCTCCAATTCCTGTGATAAATAAAGGAGTGATAATAACGATAATGGCTGAGCCTCTTCTGGCAACTACTATGTCCTGGATACTGTTCTAAATGCTTCATGTATATTAATCCTTGCCACAGCCCTGTGAGCTGTGTACTTTTATCATCGACTATGCCCTTTTTGCAGATGGGAAGACTGAAGCACAGTGAGTTTCAGTGATTTGCCTAGGGTCATGCCAGCCGCTATGTGGCTCCTGGTAGTGCGTCTCTAATGATTTCACCCTACTGCCCCTCTGCTGCTGCCCCTCAGCTGCCTCCCAGAGCAACAGACAGCTTCAAGGCTACTCTCCTGCCTGATTTCCAGCTTCCCTCGTCACACAGAGCTGGGGACAGCAAATTGGGCAGCTGCCTCCCAGGATCAATGATCACAGATTTTTGAGTTGAGTCATCTGTCAGGGGATGTGGTCTCCACGCTGCCTCTCCCTACCCCTGTGCCTGGATCCGGGGCATTGCCCATGGATCCGGGGCTTTCTCTCCCCTGCCGAGGCCACACTGGGTCTCAGGGCTCCAGGGGATTTCAGAGGGTGAGAGCATGTCTGAGGTCCTCGTGGTCATCTTGTTTCCTGGCTGACTTCACCTCCTTCCACTTCACTCTGATCCTTTGGGCCTCCCTGATTTCCCTTAACCCCGAGCTCACCCCTGAGCCCCTTCACCCTCCACTGAGAGGGGCCCTGGCCCCAGCATCTCTTCCTTCTGTGGCTCTGAGTCTCCGTGATATGCCAGTGCTGTGCTCCTGGCCACAGAGTAACAGACCTTCTGGCCTCTCTTGAATTTCCTGCTCTCAGGATGTACAAAGTTGGAGTCGACATGGTGGATGAGGCATAGCTCACAATGAGTATTAGTTCTCCCATTAGAGTGGGCAGCTGTTTAATTTCATGCCAACTCACGATGGCATTTTCCAGAACAGAAAAAAAAGAAACAGAAAAAAAAAGAGAGAAACAAAAACCAGTGCAAGATGGGTTTCCTTTTGGAAATCAAATATGTGTCCATTTATTTGCACCTGAGCTGCTGGAGGCAAAGGAATTCCAAGCTTCACTAGTGGACCTTGAGTTTTCCCTCCCTACTCACCATGACTCCAGGGGCTCTGGGTGTCACTTTGAGACCTGGCTCTGGCCCAGGTGTGCTGTGTGTCCGCACAGATGTGCTGTCTCCTCAAGTGCTCCCACACCCTGCGGCACTACATGTGACACTGCCCAGGAGCCAGCAGAGCCCCAGTGGGCCCTTTGTCGCTCACTACCCAATGTGCATTCTCCAGTGGGCACAGCAGGCAGCCCTGCTCCGCGGGCCTCTGCCCGAGCCAGGGATTACAGGATGGGCCTGCCTGCAGTGGCAGATGGTAGCGCTTACAGCTAAACTGCATTCGGCGCTTTGAACATCTTGAAAAGATTTCTTTAGAAGTTAAACTTAGCTTGGGAGTGACAATATGGTTCAGTCTGTGTCTCTGAAAGGGCCTCAGGGTGGGGCGAGGGGGATGGCTGTTTCACGGTTCCTAGCCTTGGCTTGGCTGTCTTCCACGAGTCCTGTTTTTCATGGGTCCTGCAGTCACAGTGGCTTCTAAATTTCGGCGCCATTGTTTGGAAGTCACATTTGTTTCTGTACATGTGCTGTGGGAAAGGCCATACTGGCTGTCCTGCAAGGACACATTTAGATGCCTCTGGGCAGTGGGACAAGCGCATGCCTTGGGGCACACATTGAGGCAGAGGGTGTTGTGTTCCACACAGGGCTGAGTTTTGCTGTTGCCCCTGCTTCAACCCATTGAGGGGTTGACAAGCATTTGGGCAGGGTTTGGGGTCCCGAACCTTTTGGCATTAGTGAGTACCAATTGACAGCTTCTTGCCTCCTGGAGCTCATGGCTAATTGCACTGGAATAATACCCTCCAAATCCCCATCCTAGGCTTGTCCTATTTAACGAATCCTTTGGGGGACAAAGGGTTTGATCATTTCTGGGCTCAGATAACATCTCCCTTCCCCATCCCACAATTTTCCCATCCTCAATTTGGCCACTGTAAACTCTGTCAGGAAAAACCCAGCCTTCCTCCCAAGGCAGGCACCCAGGAGCACTTTCTGGGGTAAGTGAAGCCCTGAAATTGGCAGAAAGGCAAGGCGAGTGTCCAGCTTGCAGGCTGCGCTGGCCCCTGCGTCTCTCAGTGGCTTCTGCAGCCAGAGCAGCCTCCATTGACCATTCATGAGATGTCAGGTGGTCTACAGATGGGAACACAGCATTATTGATTTTTACTAGCCTGCTAAAATTGAAAGGAAAAAACCCGTCTTAAAAGCTCCCGGTTAAGCTTTGTTTCCTAAGTGGTGATTCCAGGGCTCTGAGTTTGTCAAAGGCAAGTTTAAAATATCAGGACTATGGAAGATATAATAAAATGAAATTTTCTTACCGTCATTAACTTCAGAGAGGAGCTCTCTGACTCGGGTTTGGGGGCTAAGGGGGAGGGGGAGAGAGATCTCCAGAGTGGGGGAAGGGGGAGAGAGGAAGCTGAAAGAACAAAACCAGCAACTCCACCCCTCATAGAAGCCCCTTTGATAAGATTGGATGTGAATATAAAGAAATGAATTCCATCCGCTCTACATTGACAACAGTTCCCCTGGCCAAGCAACGACAGGGGATGTGATCAGAGAGCATTGGCCTGATGGGCCCCCACCAAGTACACTGACTTGGAAAATGGGGAAAGTTTGGGGTCAGGCGATGAGCTCTTGGGAGAGGAAGCTGGAGAATGAGGAGGCTCCGATTACCCTACCCCTAATACTTATCTAGATGTTGTTTCTTGTTCTTCTTCCTGAGAGCTCTCATAGTCCCAATGACTGGAACACAGTTGAGGGCACAGTCGTGTCTGCAGAGCTGTCTGCACTTCCAGTTGGCTTGCCTGGATGTGTGTGGTTCTTGGAGCCATCTTGGGTCATTTTTTTCCAAATCTTTGATGTTAGGGAAAGCCCCTTAGAGAAATTCCCCGGGGAGTCCACCAAAGGGTTTGTGCTTATGGGGTGGTCTCCTAGAAATGAGGGTTCTGCATCGTGACCGAGCCACTATATCCTCCTAAGTGTCTGTACATGTGTGTGTGCATGTCTGTGTGTCCATACGTGTGCATGTGTGTTTGTGTGCATGCATGTGTGTTCATATGCATGTGTGTGCACTTGTGTAATGGTCATGTGTGTGCATGTGCTTATGTGTGCATGTGTGTGTGCATGCCTGTGTATTAACATGTGTGTGTGCATGTGTGTATGTGTGCATGTGTGCATGTATGTGCATGTGGTCTTTATCCGCCTGTTGGATTGATATGGGAATGGTATTTGGCTGGCGCCGACCTTCTTTTGATCTGCACAATGGCGCTGCAGCACTGTAGAAAATATATTGATTGATTGATTGAGTGACCTTTTTGAAATTAAATGAGCAGAGATCTGGGAGTCGTGAGACCTGGGATCTGACCAGTGGGTCAGTCAGCAGATATCTATTGAGCACAAGGAAGCACTGTGCTGGGCACTATGGAGGAATCGAAGAAGCAAATGATACTCTTCTGCCTCCGGGTAATAAAAGTGTGTGGGGCAGTCACCAATTTCTATTGGGTCCTCAGACTAGGGATCCTGAAATCACAGAACTTTGGAGTTGCACAGGGGCATGGGAATGCCTTTGCCCTGCCCTCTTAGCTCCTGGATGAGGAAGCTGAGGCTGAGGGAATTGAGATGACTAATGTCATGTTCCATTGGAGTGTCCTGAATTCCAGTCTGTGATTATCGACCAGCTGAACAGCTCTGCCTTTCTGAAAAGATCACGTGGGCTCTGCTCTCATTATTGCCAGAGGACCCAGCAGAAGTGAGGCCTACCAATCTTCAGAATTTATCTTCTATCAGATGGGCAGGGCAGCCCCTCACAAGTGCTGGAAAGCTTAGCAAAAATGTCCTTGGAAGCTACTTTTCATCCATAGCAGGGGGATGAAAGTGACTTGGATTAGAACTACATTATTGTAATGATTACAAAACAATTAACTTTTATCTTGCGATAACTAAATTCCAGATGCTTTGCTGAGGGCTTTATATGCAACATCTATTTTAACTCTCAGAACACGATGTGAGTACTATTATTATCTGTGGCTTACGTATAAGGACAATGAAGCTCAGAGAAGTGACAAGACTTGCCTAGTGACACATAGTTGGTGCCTGGATTTGCACATGAATACCAACTCCAGCGGTTGAGCAAAAAATCTCGTGAACTTAAGTATTTTTGTTTCTATGGTTCCCAAGGACAGTCTACCATTTATTTATTACTAAAAGCAGTTGCTATTTCTATGTTAATGTAGACAAGGTGTGTGCCAGTCCCCCTTTATAAAGCCGAGGTTGGGCATCGGACAGATACATTTCTAGTAACTAACCCTGTTTCATCAAAGGTTGGCAGCGTCCTGTCAGACTTCGTAGGCATTGGGGAGAGGAGCTGTAATAAGTCTGTGGTATAACAGACTAAAGCAGAAGGCAAAATTACTGGAGCCTTGTGATTTGGGGAAATCCTCCTCCCACCCCACTAGAAAGACAAATAGTTTTCAAAATAATTGTTTTTCCATTTTAGAAATTAAAAAAAATAAATTAAGATTCAAATTGCCTGCCTTAGGTATTGCAAACAATTTCCAGGTGATGATCAAATTCCTTTCTTCTCTGGTGATGAAATTTGTTCATGGTTAAGGATGATCAGCTTTCACATAGCATGGCGATCAGTCGGAAAGACACAAACAATACAGTGCATCATGCACTCATATAATTAGCATTTCCCCCAATTAGAGTATTAGGAGAAGCATAACGCCAAGACTTGGTTTGACGTTGGGCATGCTGTTTATTTGTGGCATCATCTTTGGGAATAATGGCATTTAGCTACATACAAAGAAATATCTATAGAGCGAGCACCAGGCAGAGGCTAGCTGGTCCCCTAGCCAGCTAGGTGATGTCGTTCAGACTCCATCCTGCGGGAAGAATTATGGAGGTGCTAGAAATTTCAAGGGCAACCTCTTGCAC